GTACTGTGAAACTCCCGTAGTGGTTAGACTTAAGAGTTGAGCCAACCTCTTTTCAGATAAAACAACTTTCACACCTCTCACCCTAGAGGTAACTTCTAACTTTCCACCATCTTTTGTCACAACCATATGATGGTAAAATTCCTTAACCAAGCTCGGGTACGTCTCAACCCTTATGGTAAGAAACCCGTCCAACAAACCTTGATATCTCAACATGTCTAACAAGGAACTGGAAAAAGATTCCGGGCCAAAGGCTTTACCTTCCAGAACGAGATAGTGGGCATCCACCCATTCCACTTTCCTAGCCAAACTTGTTCTCCTAGGCATGGTTGCAAGATGACCCAAGGCTCAAAGAGAAGACCCAAAGCTTTTCCTCTTTCTTCTACTCTCTCGATGCTCTCTCTCTTGCTGCTCTCCCTCTCGCTGCTCTCTCTCTCTCTCTCTCTCTCTCTCTCGCTGAACTGTAGCGGCACGGCAGCGGCGACGTGGGCTCCGATCGGCGGCGATACTCCGGCAGGTGGCGGCGTCGGCGGTTGTGCTCGGCTGCGACGGGCGGCGTAGGCGTTGGGCTGGTGGGGAGTTGTCTCGGCTGATGCTCACGGGTAGATAGAGAACGGAAAATTGAGGGTTTGGGATTTTGGAAGAAAAATTGGGAAAGGGAAGATTTGATTTGGGGATTTTGGTAAAGTGATAAATTATGGTTAAATGGAATTTAAATGGGGTAAGGTTTGAGAAATATGGTTAGATTAAGTGGTTTAAGGGTTGGATTGGTAACTTGTACACTCGGGTTCGAATCTTGATGGATATAAATTTAAAATTCCCATGGTTTTTTTAGGTTAAACAAGGAGGAATTTCTATGGATGGCCTATTTAAAATTAAAAGGGCACTCTCACAAGGAAGGTTGGGTTACAAAGAACATATGCAAGGCTACGAAATAACACAAGCATGACTCATTTTAAAAATAAACAATTTTCACGAAAGACTCTCACTTAAAATCAAAGGAACACAACAAGGAAAAGGCAACAAGGGGAAAAGATACTCTCTCAAGATAAGGATAGGCTTAGGAAAAAGGGTTACCTACCATCTCGTCCTCAACCAACCCCTCCGATTCGGCCTGAGATCGCCCCATCACAAACACACGACCCAAATGTCTAGCTCCAGCTGCTCCTCGGCTTGAACTCCCTCCCGATGCTCGCCGGGTCCTGAACTAGGTGGCAACGCACTTTGGTTAGCTTGCTGAGGGCATACGGTAGCCTTATGTCCTCTCTCACCGCATCTGTAGCATCGAAGGGCATGTCCTTGGCAATCCTTTCCAACATGCTCCTTTCCACACATTCTGCACGCAACCCTCTTACCTTGATCACCCGGTTCTACTCGAGTTGGTCCTTGAGGTGGGGACGGTGCGGTCTTGGCTCGGACATCCTGTCTTGGCTTCTTGAAGTTGGAAGATCCTCCACTCTCGATCCTCTTCCTAGCAAGCTCAAAAGATCCGCGTTGCAACTGTTGCACCCGATACAGGTCCGCAGCACTCAGGTAAGCCTCTTTAAAAGTCCTTGGCTTGATCACGGTTAAAGCCTTGCGAGCCTCGTAGTTCAAACCAGCTACAAACTTCTCAACTTTCGCGAGCTCGGAGGAGACAAGCATCCTAGCGAAGCGAGCGAGCTCCAAAAACCTCTTGTGGTACTCAACAACCGTCGAAGAACCCTGTTGGAGGTGCAAAAACTCCACATACATAGCAGCTCGAACATGTGCCAGGTAGAACCGCTCTCACATCCGGTCCTTCAAAGCCGTCCAGTCGAAGTCGGGCTCCTCAAGGCAAGCGGGTCCCTCATGCACCCACCACAAGTCCGCTTCATGACTGAAGTAGAACGATGCTAACTCCACTCGACGCTCCTTGGGGCACCCACCGATCGAGAAGATCTTGTCAAAGGTTCGCACCCACTCCTCGAGCACGACAGGGTCTTCCTCACCAGCAAACATCGGTGGTCTATATAAGGCGTCCAACATCTCTATGCCCGGCAGGCTGTGGTGGCGGAGCAGGATGATTGTTGTGCAACAACGCTTCACTGAGGGTCTGCATGGTCTGCGTGAGGTGTTGCAGATTCTGGGCTAGCTGCTCGTTCGTTGGAGTCTCCGGTGTGCGAGCACGTTGACAAGGAGGTACCATAGCAAAGCTTCTACAACAACAACATTGTTACAAAACAAAATAACAAACAAGCAAGCAAACTATAAACAACACATAGCTCACCGCGTGTCCTAAGAGTCCACTTAAGGTTGCCTAGGGTCTCAAACCACACTTAACTTCTTAAAAGTCTAGACTCTAGCATCCTGGGCTCAAACCTATGCTCTGATACCAATTGTAATACCCCCGATTTTCATGCCATTTTAAAGCTTAATTACGCAGGATAAAGTAACCATCAAAACACAAACATAAGCACAGCGGAAGTCTAAACATTAAACTAAGAAAACCATGGGTGTTATGCCACGTTCACGCCGATGTGAACGCACAGGCGAGGTCAAAAGCCAACATCTAATGTATGTTTAACAACAGCGGCACACAGGCCAAAACACTAATAAAGCTGTCCAGGGAATCTAGTCTAACCATGTCTAACACTCTCGCCGTCTACTTAGGACCTATAAAGCACATAAAGAAAGGGGACGATGCCCGGTCAGCGAATATTGCTGGTAATAGATAGATTAATACAAAATCATTTTCGAAACAGAATACAGTATATATCAGTTTAAAACTATAAAGAGAGAAGTCAACTGCAAAGACTCTATTTCACTCTCAAAAGAACAAGGGAATCAACATCCCAAAACAACATCACGACAAGAACAACAACAGAATGACTCAACACAGCTCAAGAGTAGGAAAGGTTGAATCTTGGAGACTAACTTGAAGAATCTTGAATTGCCCAAACTTGGCTTGAAGAAGAAGCTAGCTAAATTCTAGAGAGAAGGAGGAGCTTTTTCTTTTTAGAGTGTTAGGGAAAAGAATGAAAAATGACTCTACAATCATGAGGTGAAAGGACTTCTTTACCCTTACTAAGATGGAAAAATGTATGGGGACAAGGGAACAATTCACAAAGCTTGAAGTACAACTCATTAACTTGGGTTGACTAGTCAATTACTAGTCCCCGACTATTGAATTTTCAGGATTTTAGGAATTAAACTATCAATTAAGCTAGGATTAATTACTTAATTAATCCTTAAATAGAACTTGGATTTACGGGGTGTCACACCACCCGTGGGGTACAAGCCTTGTGGGTGATGGTACCCGCGGGCGGAACAACGGGTGGAGGTCCACCCGTGGCCCCACCCGCGGGGCACATACTTGTGGTTGGTCGGGGTTTTGTTCCCCGTGATTCTTTTGACTCGGTATTCATGTTTTAACCTCTCGATGTTGTTTTATTGGATCTATTGAGTGTCTTCTTGATGTTTCGTATGTTTAGAACGGTATGTAGGAATCCATGTAGGATTTTGTTTCTTCAATCGTGCTAAGTGTCCAACTTTGTGATTCGTTGGACTATGATGAGTCTTGTATGAATATGGAACTATGTTTGGTTTACCCGTTTGATAAGCATCCTAGTTTGATGTTGAAAAGCTAGTGTGTGCGGTTTGTTCTTTCCTATTGAAGTTGGCAACTTGTGTTGACCATCGTTGGTGTCGGATTGTAATCCTTCCTTGTTGAGTATGATTTCATATCTTTGTTGTGATCCATTGATTGATTCCTGTGATGAAAACGTGTGTATTTGTTGTACCTTGATTGCACCATTATGGGTATGGGACCTTAATCTCCAAGGTACAGATGTGGTCCTCGTGGTGGCTATGAATGAAATTGGTGGTGTAATCTGAGCATAGGCTCACTTGTTGGAGATTGTGCGAATGATATGAATGGTACCCTCGTGTACTCATATGTCCGAGACATTGTTGGAGATTGTTGGAGTGGGGACGACGGTCCTCGGAGGCATAAGTTTGGACTCAGAAGTATAGGGGTTCTTGGAGGTAATGGTTGGAACTGTAATAAGGTCGGGGGTAGCCATAAGGTTGGAACAGGGCATAAGGTTGGAACTTGTGACATGAAGTTGTCACTGTGGCATGTAGTTGCCAATGTGTGAATGTCTATTCTTTGCTAATGAGTGTGTTTAGTGGTATTCTACTTTGTGATCAGTAGAATACACCTCGAGTTGTATTTGTCTACTGTGGTTGTTCTTGTCTTGTTGTTTTCATGGGATGTTGACTTCCCTTCTTCCTTTGAGAGTGTGAAAGAGTCTTTGCAGTTGATTTCTCTCTATGATGTTTGAACTGATATATACTGTATGCCGTTTCGAAATTGATGTTGATTTATACTATCTATATATGCTATTTAACGCGTATTGATGGGTTACCAGCAATATTCGTTGACCGGGCGTCGTCCCCTTTCTTTATGTTGCTTTACAGGTCTTGAGTAGCTTTTGGAGAGCGCCCTAGCTGTCTGTTTGTTATGTAGCTCCCTTGGACTGTTTGGTTAGAGTTTTGGGCCTGTGAGCCTTAGATGGTTATGAACATGTTTAGTACGTTGGTTTAGACTAGTCTGTGCATCCGCTTGATGTGGATGTGGCATAGCACTTCCCGTTTTTTCCCATTTTTAATTAAAGTCTTCCGCTGTTGTTTAAATTTGATGCTACCTGTTAGTTACCTTGCTTTATGCTCTTAAGTTTTTAAAATGTCGCAAAAATCGGGGGTGTTACAGTTGGTATCAGAGCCTAGGTGTGAGCCCAGGATGTTAGAGTCTGGACTTTTAAGAAGTTAAGTGTGGTTCGAGACCCTAAGGTGACCTTAAGTATTGAAGTGTTTAGGACTTAGGACTGTTAGGACGCGTGGTGAGCTGTGTGTTGTTTATCGTTTGTTCTGTTTGCTTTGTTGTTTCTGCTTAGCTTAGTGTTCTTTTAGTTAGCGTCGGGTAAGGGTGCGCTGTTTGTTTGTGCATACCGTAACCGTGTTGTTATTGTAGAAGCTTTGTCATGGCACCGCCTCGTCAAAGCGCTCATACGCCCGAGACACCAACCAACGAGCAGCTGGCTCAGGACTTGCAACATCTCATGCAGACCATGCAAACCTTTAGTGAAGCTCTTCTAAACAACAATCATCCTGCTCCGCCGCCACAGCCTGCTGGACATCGGGATGTGGGACGTCTAGTCTCGGGCCACAGACCACCGATGTTCGCCGGAGAGGAGGACCCCGTCATGCTTGAGGAGTGGATCCGAACCTTCGACAAGATCTTCTCCGTTGTAGAGTGCCCGGAGGAGCGTTGAGTGGAGTTGGCATCTTTCTACTTCAATCATGAAGCTGATCTGTAGTGAGTGCATGAGGGACCCGCATGCCAAGAGGAGCCCGACTTCGACTGGACGGTTTTCAAGGACCGAATGAGGGAGAGGTTTTATCCGTTGCATGTCTGAGCTGCTTTGTACGAGGCGTTTCTACATCTCCACCAGGGTTCATCGTCTGTGGTGGAGTACCACAAGCGATTCTTGGAGCTCGCTCGTTTCGCTAGGATGCTAGTCCCCACCGAGCTTGCGAAGGTGGAGAAATTCGTGACTGGGCTCAATTATGAGGCTCGAAAGGCATTCACCGTGAGCAAGCCGAGGACCTTGAAGGCGGTATATCTGAGTGCTGATGATCTGTACCGGGTACAACAGTTGCAGAGAGGGTCGTTTGAGCTCGCTAAGAAGAGGAACGAGAGCGGTGGATCACACAACTTCAAGAAGCCGAGACATGACTACCGAGCTAGGACCGCACCTTCCCTACCTCAAGGATCAACCTGAGTAGAGTTCGGAGATCAAGCTAAGACGTTCGCATGCAGAAAGTGTGGAAAGGATTGCCATGGTTTTGCACTCTGATGTTTCAAGTGTGGGGAAAGAGGTCACAAGGTTGCCGTATGCCCTCTACAAGCTAATCAAATATCGTTGCCACCTAGCTCGGGATCCGGTGGAACTTCAGGAGGGAGTTCAAGCCGAGGTGCAGCTGGAGCTAGACCTTTGGGTCAAGTGTTTGTGATGGGTTGGTCCCAAGCTGAGTCGGAGGGGCTGGTTGAAGAAGAGACGGCAGGTAACCCTTTTCCTAAGCCTATCCATACCTTGAGAGTGTGCCTTTCCTTTGTTGTCGTATTTCCTTGTTAGGTGATCCTTTTTGGCTTTTTATGTGAGTTTCTTTCTTAAGTTAATTGTTTATTTCTGAGTGGGATCGTGCTTGTGGTAATTCCGTAGCCTCGTATATGCCCTTTTAACTCAACCTTTTCTTTTGGGTTATCTAAGTTTAATTGAGTATCCTTTGGATTTAATTTAGACAAAACCAAAGACATCCTTTCATTTGTAGCATAAAAAGACAAAGAAAGTTTTAATTCGTAGCCACCTAGTTTCAAACTCGAATGTACAAGTTACCAACCCAACCTTTGAACTACTTGAACCAATTATGTTTCTTGAACCTTATCCCATTTAAATTCCCTTTAACCTATTTTTCCACTTTACCCAAAAATCCCCAAATTAAAACCTACTTTCTCCTAATTTTTCCCCAAAATTTCCCAAACCTTATCTTTCTTCCTTCCTTCCACCCGTGAACCACCGAGCAATCCCCCACCCGCCGGTCTTCCTCCCGTCGCAGCCAAGCATCGCCGCCGACACCACTTGCAGCCCTACATCGCCACCAGTCGCCGACGCCATCGCCGCTGCAACCTCGCCATCGCCGAACGTCCGCCTCTGCCGTCCAGCAGGAATCGAGACCGAGAGAAGAAAGAGAAGAAGAAAATAGGAAGAAAGGAAAGAGTTTTGGTCTACTTTGAGTCTTTGGGGCATCTCAGAATCATGCCGAGAAGGACTAACTTGACGAGAAGAGTGGAATGGGTGGATGCCCACTACCTTGTGTTGGAAGGTAAAGCCTTTGATCCTGATTCTTTTTCAAGCTCTTTGTTGGAGATGTTGAATTACCAAGGACTGTTGGATGGGTTTCTCACCATCAGGGTTGAGACTTACCCGAGTTTGTTGAAAGAATTCTACCGTCTCATGGTTGTGACTAAGGATGGTGGAAAGTTGGAAGTCACTTCTAAAGTGAGAGGTGTGAAAATTGTTTTGACTGAGAAGAGGCTGGCTCAGCTTTTAAGTCTGACCACTACAGGAGTCTCGCAGTATAGTGGTGACTCCTGGATTGGGACGGATAATGTAACACCCCAAAATTTTTAAAACTTTTCAAACTTATAATATGAAAGCAATTCTATTAATTAATTCCAAATGGAGTATCCTGAACATAAGGGTCTAGGGTGTTATGCCACATCTGAGCTTGAGAACTCATATGCACAGGCTACACTAACTAACTATCCTCAAACAAATGTCATTACATCATCAAGGCACGCAGGCCGAAAAGAAAGACTAACTATTTAAGGCGAGTTCCTCTAGCGCACTCCGGTAGCTAATCCTCTGTGCCTGAAAGCCAAATATATATGTTCAGCGAATGATGCTGGTAACCCACTCCAACCCGTTAAAATACAATATAGGTATATATATATATATATATATATATATATATATATATATATATATATATATATATATATATATATATATATATATATATATATATATATATATATATATATATATATATATATATATATAGGAAAACCATTTTGAAGCAGGAAGATATATACTTAGGAGACTCTAGCTTTAAAATCAGGAATAGACTCAACAAGTAGGGACAAGCATATTCAACAGTTATAATCATGCATATAAAGATACTACCATATATCCTAAGGTCACGAGATTATTTTGCATCATTCATATCATTATCTCAATCACATAAGCACACTTTGGTGGCGTCACAGGACAAATCGCATGCCCATACATGAGGATCAGCGCATATAGCGCTAACACGGCCCCGCAGCACCCTGCCTCGTATCGCGACACGAAGGGGTCGATCGCAACTGACCGATGAACCGCAGCTCATCATAATGTTTGAGCGCAACCAAACAGTGGACCGCAGCCCAAAAGTGTATTTCTGATCGCAACCAGATTATGAACCGCAGCTCATGTAAAACGTTTGATCGCAACCAAATGGTGGACCGCAGCCCTATATCATATTTATATACCTGACTGATCGCAACCGGCCTGGTTAGCAGTTGGTATGGTTCTCAACCCATCCAACTGCCCGTATAGCCAATTTGATCGCAACCAAATTGGGGTATCATGCATACATAACACATAGCAAGCACATGCAACCCACAGTAGCACATTGGTGTCTTCAAGTTCGGCCTGAGTGCAGCTCATGACGAATACTTTTTCGGGAGCATTGTAATTCCCTTGATTGTTTGCGCCCCCGTGTTGGCTCATGACTGTAGGGCATGAGTTTGGGGGTTGAGTGCATTGGAAGGACTTGTGTCCTTCTCCCCCGCAGTTGAAGCACCGCCAGGGGTTTCCTATGCAGTCTTTGCCTCTATGGTCCTTGTTGCATCTTCGGCAAAGGAAGGGTCTTGTATTAATTTCGTTGCTTCTCAGGGGTGGCCCTTGGCCAGCTGGGTTGCTTGGCCTTGTGTTAGTGTCGTTTCTTGTTCTTTTCATGGGTGGTGCCCCACCTCCCGTGTTCCTTTTACGAATTTGTTCCTGGACTCCATGTTGTAGTAGCTAGATCCGATAGAGGTTGGCGGCACTGGAGTAAGCCTCGTTGAGGGTCCGGGGTCCGCTTACGATTAGTGCCTTTCGGGCTTCGAAGTTGAGGCCTGACACGAACTTTTCTATCTTGGTTGTCTCTGTAGGGACTAGTTTGGGTGCGAAACGGGCCAGTTCGAGGAATCGTTTGTGGTACTCCATGACGGTGGTCATCCCTTGTTTCAAGTGGTGGAATTCTTCGTACATGGATGCTCTCACGTGTGCTGGGTAGAACCGCTCTCGTAGTCGTGTCTTTAGGTTCTCCCAGTTGAACCCTGGTTCTTGTCTGTAAGTGGGTCCCTTGTGGATCCACTAGAGATCAGCCTCGTGTCTGAAGTAGAACGAGGCTATCTCTACACGACGTTCTTCTAGGCATTCCACCAATCCAAGGATTTTGCTGCGACCACAAGAAGCAACAATTTAACGTTAAAGTATTTTATGATTAGTTTTATTATTTAGTTAGAATAATTAAATTAATTAGGATAATTATTTTAGATTTAGTTTGTTACACTTATTTTATCATTTATCATTTGCATTTATCTTAGTTTGTTAAAGATTTATTTTGTATTTATCTATTTGTAGTTTGTTGAGATTTTAGTTATCTTGGGATTATAGTCCTGAATTACTAAAACTCTACAACTATAAATAGAGACACAAGTTATGAATAAAATAGATTCGTGATGAATTTTTGAGAATGAAAACTGAGATGGTTTTCTAGAACTCAGGATGAATTCGGTCATGAGTGATTCATGACATTCCTGACTTATCAAGTGTGAAACCCCACTTGTGGCGTCAAATCATTCTCATATCGCTCTATAACCGGGCGTGGGGCGAGAATCAATTCAAAAACCACAAAAACAACCCTTACCCAACCTAAAATTAAACCTTTCAAAACAAATTCACCTAGCCGAATAAACCATTCTATGATGTTCTTTAAAATTTGAGTGTGAAGAGAAGATCGGGCCAACCAGGATCGCATCAGATTTTGTCGAAGGTTCGAATCCATTCTTCGAGGATTGTGGGGTATTCTTCTCCCGAGAAGATGGTTGGTCGATGATTTGAAACTTGCCGGGTGATTTCTGAATTTGTGTTTGGTGGTGGTGGTGGTCTGTTGTTGTTGCGGAGTGCCACGTCGCTTAGTGTTTGGGCGACCTATGTAAGTTGCTATAGAGTTTGAGCCAAGGGATCGTGTGTGGCGGGTTCCGGAGTCCTTGATAGTCTTCTGTTTGGTTCCATGTCGTTGGTCTACAGGGCCAATGTATATTGTAACGATGAGTTAGAGTGTTGCACCCTTACCTTGATGCGATAAGCGTAGGGAGAAGTTCTTTAAATTAACGAAAGATGAAGTGAGGGAAGGTTATGTGATGGTGGGTAGGCTCACAATCTCACCGCGCGTCCTAAGATTCCTGAATTCTATGTTCCTAAAATACTTAGAGTTCAAGCCTAGTGTCCTAAAGTCAGGTCTTAAGAGTCTTATGCTAGGGTCAAACTTAGGCTCTGATACCATCTGTAACACCCCGAAATTTTTAAAACTTTTAATTCTTATAATATGAAAGCAATTCTATTACTCAAACCCAAACAGAGCATTCTAAACATAAGAATCTGGGGTGCTATGCCACATCTGAGCTGGAGAACTCAGATGCACAGGATATCCTAACTATATAACCTCAAAACAATGTCAATACATCATCATAGCACGCAGGCCGAAAGGAAAACTATCTATCTAAGCCTTGGTCCTCTAGCGCGCTCCGGAGCTACTCATCTGTTCCTGAAAGCCAAATATATCTGTTCAGCGAATAATGCTGGTAACCCACTCCAACGCATTAAAATACAATATAGGTATGTATATATATATATATATATATATATATATATATATATATATATATATATATATATATATATATATATATATATATATATATATATATATATATATATATATATATATATATATATATATATATATATATATATATAGGGACGCACTCAGGTGCGAATAAGTGCCCAGGAAGGAAATGCGAACGAATCAGCGCGTGACACGTGTCCAGATCTAATAACTTAAAAAAAATGCGGTGGCATTTTCGTAAATAATTGAACATCGAAGTGCAAGTAAAATCTCTTATAAGTGCACCTATTTTCACCTATAAGTGCATGTAATTTTGCCGTGTAAGCATTCACTTTCCGCAACCATTCCTGCACCTGGGTGTGCTTATAAACATATGTGCAACTATTTATAACTATAGGTGCAACTACTTATAACTATGTGTGCACCTACTTTCACCTATAAGTGCATGTAATTTTGTCTTGTTAACATTCATTGATCTGAGTTCAGCGGGTAGTAATACTCCTGAAAACCACTCGCAAACATTCATACACCTAGATGCAACTACTTATACCTATGTGTGCAACTACTTAGAACTATAGGTGCAACTACTTAGAACTATAAGTGCAACTAAGTATTGATGCTCAGTGTAAATTTTTACTTGCACCTATAATACATTTTACTTGCACTTCAATGTTCAATTATTTACGAAAATGCCACTGTATTTTTTTAAAAAAATCAGTGTTTCTCATCCATTAGATCTGGACACGTGGACGAACAGAATCCATTTCTATTTCGCGCCTGGGCGAGCCGTTCGCACCCGAGTGCAACTATATATATATATATATATATATATATATATATATATATATATATATATATATATATATATATATATATATATATATATATATATATATATATATATATATAGGAAAACCATTTTCAAGCCGGAAGATATATATATAGGAGACTCTAGCTTTAAAACCAAGAATAGACTCAACAAGTAGGGACAAACACATTCAACAGTTATAATCATGCATATAAAGATACTAGCATATATCCTAAGGTCACGAGATTATTTCACATCATTCATATCATTATTCTATCATTATCTCAATCACATAAGCACACTTTGGTGGTGCCGCAGGACCCTTCACGCGCCCATACACGAAGCGCCAGCATATATAGCTCTGGCATGGCCCCGAAGCACCCTGCCTGTACCGCAGCACAAGGGGTCGATCGCAACAGCCCTATATAATATTTATATACCTGACCGATCGCAACCGGCCTGGTTAACAGTTGGTATGGTTCTCAACCCATCCAACTGCCCGTATAGCCAATTTGATCGCAACCAAATTGGGGTATCATGCACACATAACACATAGCAAGCACATGCAACCCACATTAACACATTGGGAAAGGGGAGAAAACGTATAAAGAAACATATGCATGGTTATCCACATACTAGGAATATTCCTAAGGGGTTCATATATCTTTCACCTAGGCCAACGGGATACCAATTCAACTAGCATGTAATACACAAGACTCTTTTATCCTACGAATGGTACCCGAAATATCAAACTAGACTTAGGCACGATAAACGGAGTCCGTTGGGACACCACGAGGGTCGGGGAAATATCAAATGGGGAAACCACCATCCCAAGTTGGGAATTTCCAGCGGGTGGCCGGCGGGTGGAGTGGAGGACCACCCGCCGGCGGCGAAATGCTGGGCAGCGGGTGCCTGGCGGGCAGTCGCCTACCCGCCGGCTGCCCGCTGCCGGCGACGCCCTTTAGGGGCAGCGGGTAGGTGGCGGGTTACCCTACCCCAACCTACCCCCCACTGACTCTTTTTCAATACTTGGGTCCCGAAATCTCTTGTGGAACCCAAAACCATGTTTAGATACTTTTAAACGCAAACGACGACACCACATAATCAAATAACGGATCAAAACTAAGAATCACATTGAACATATCCTAACATGACTTCTAAACATAATCAACACCCGAAAGGAAGAATATACAAAGGTATAACCCCATGGACTCCCTCTTTGATTTTGGCTCTGTGAAGCCTTTGATATTGAGTAGAAATAAGTAGAAATTATGAGATTTTGTTGTGTTTATTCTTGGAAGTGATCTAGTATTTGTCCTTGAGTTGTTGAGAATGTTTTGGACATGTTTGGATTAATTTTGCAGATGAAATGCCCATCTCAGACCAGCGGCCCGCGGCCCATCAGGAGGGCCGCCGGCTAGAGCCGGGGTTACCCGGACCTAGGGCATGGCCCTAGGAGAGGGCCGTTGCCTAGGCTCGGCAATGTAACGGGACTCATGGGGCGGCTCATGAGGAGTCCCGCCCCAGGTCCCTGAGTATTAATCTGAGGAGTTTTTGTGCAGTGGTCGGACCCTTGTGGCTCAGCTACGTGTCGTTTTGGGCCAGGTGTCACGGGCCCTTGTGGCTTGGTACCTCGGGACCGTCTCGACACACGTTTTGGTTTTGATTTCGTTGAATTTGGATTAAAAATGAGCATGTTATGATGGAATTATTGAAGAATTGTTTCACAGTATTATGAAGTTCACTTTGAAGAATAAATATTTTGCCTTGTTGTCTGATGTTATTTTTGTGTTGAGTAGAGAAGCATGATCACTTGAGAATATGATTATTATGAAAGCATGACTAAAATGTGATATTTGATCAATGAGTTTTGAAGCATATTTTGTTGATTGAAATTGTATAGAATTTGCTATGTTGCAAACCGAGTATGATATGATATCCTTGAGAATTTTATGGATTATATATATGGATTTGGAGCATGTTTGATATGAACCTAGTCCAAGATTCAAATAAGATGAGTATTGTCCCAAGAATTGCTCTCAATGTAAAGATAGAGATGGATCGAAATACCTTAAACATCACGAGAAACCCTTTGTCTCGAATCCTCAAAGACTTGGAAGAATCCCATTGTAGCTTTAAGTACCTCGATGTTGCAATCTTCAATCAACTAGAGTCGGGTCTAGTTTCCTTCGATTCAAGAACGAGTCCACGAACCTAAATCTAAGGTTGAAGAAAGGAAGATTGATTCGAGTCCACGAATCAATTTGCTAGTCGAGTCCACGACTAACCACTAATTGAGTCCACAATTAGCCATAAGGTTTCTTACACAAGTGTAAAGAAAAACTTAAGAATTTTATTGAATTGAAGCCTCCCCAAAACTGATATGGAGTGCCCTATTTATAGGTATAGGGCAGCATTGTAATCTAAATACAATGGGAAAAAGAGTCCTAAACCTAATCTAGAAAACAAGTAAATAGAGTTTTATTTAGAAAAAGATTTAAGGAATCCTTTCTAAATACAACTAGTGTTTTCTCTTTTATGCCAAACAATTTAAATTAATGATGACCAAAAATAATAGGGCTGATTTGGGCCTAATTTAATCACCAAAATCAACACTTAAACAATTATAAAAAAGCCTTGAGTTATTCTTCATATTTTTCAAATGGGCTTGACTTGGATTTCCACCATCTTTGAACATCACCAATGAAGAGTTGCCTTAATTGTTTGGACTTGGGCCTTGTGATTGGCCCAATTAGTACTCTTAATGGATCTTCATATGTTGGGCCGCATCATCCTCCCCTTCTTGAAAATGATTCGACCTCGAATCTTGTAAGCATTGTCTTCGATCCATGATATCACTTGAAATTGGCCACTATAATATTTTCCTCTATCGAATGGACTTATTATTAGTCTTTGTTGTTTCTTCCACCATTGATGTTTTAAGGTCGTCGTTATGGGCCTTGTGATGAGCCCACTATTTACCCTTTTTGGATTCCATGTGTACTGGTTCCTATTATTCTCCCATTCTTGAAAAGGATTCGTCCTCGAATCCAAATCTTCAGTGAAAGACAAAGTAGCAAGCTCACTTTCTGTTTTATCACGCTCATGGAACTTTTTCTTGGGATGCTTGACATGAGTCGCTCCAATCATCATCCTACAATCAACAAGTAAGGCAATTAAGTCTAATGACACATCAGGGAATTTAAACATTCTAGATGGTAATAATTCAACAAAATGAGACATATTAAATTTATGCATCTTGTTTGAATTGTCAATAAGCACAAAATCTTTCCTCCTAGAGCTTAAGGTAAAATCAAACAGAAAATTCATGGAAATATCAAGTAATGATTTAAATGTATTATGGTGGTAAGTAGCACAATTCTGAACATAAGATTCTACATCTTTTTTCTTCTTTGGCCAATGAAAATATTCATGCAAAACATCATTACTCTTTACAAAATCAAAATGTCCCTTATGTGAATCAACAATTAAATCATTGCCCAAAACAAAGCAAAAAGTGTCAATCCCATTGACTTTGAACCAAAACCCCTTGTGCAAGTGGTATTTGCCATAAGAAGTTTTCAAATGTGCCTTATAACTTCCAAGTGATTCCTTATCTCTATCAAATAAAGTTTTAGTAAAATCAAAATTAAGGAATCTTGGATGTATGGAGGCAAACAAATTTCTAATACATCTGGCAAGTAGGTCATTAATAGAAACATTGATATGAATCTAGTCCAAGGTTCAAATAAATATGGAATATTGTCCCAAGATTACTCTCAGTGCAACATAGAGATGGATCAAAATACCTTAAACCTCACGAGAAATCCTTTGTCTCGAATCCTCAAAGACTTGGAAGAATCCCATTGTAGCTTCAAGTACCTCGATGATGCAATCTTCAATCAACTAGAGTCGGATCTAGTTTCCTTCGATTCAAGAACGAGTCCACGAACCTAAATCTAAGGCTGAAGAAAGGAAGATTGATTCGAGTCCATGAATCAATTTGCTAGTCGAGTCCACGACTAGCCACTAATTGAGTCCACAATTAGCCATAAGGTTTCTTACACAAGTGTAAAGAAAAACTTAAGAATTTTATTGAATTAAAGCCTCCTCAAAACTGATATGGATGTGCCCTATTTATAGGTATAGGGCAGCATTGTAATCTAAATACAATGGGAAAAAGAGTCCTAAACCTAATCTAGAAAACAAGTAAATAGAGTTTTATTTAGAAAAGGATTTAAGGAATCCTTTCTAAATACAACTAGTGTTTTCTCTTTAATTCTAAACAATTTAAAATAAATGATGACCACAAATAATAAAGCTGATTTGGGCCTCGGATCTTGTGATTGGCCCAATTTGTAATCTTAATGGATCTTCATTATGTTGGGCCGCATCATCCTCCCCTTCTTGAAAAATGATTCGACCTCGAATCTTATAAACATTGTCTTCGATCCGTGACATCACTTGAAACGGGCCACTACAATACTTTCCTCTATCGAATGGAATTATTATTGAAATTCCTTGATTTTTCCCAATCGTTATGCTGTGCATCCGGTTGCACCGTACTTGGTGCATCCGGATCCACACGACGTCGTTTAGGGAGTAACGGTGCCGTTAGTGGCACCGTTTCACTCCACCAATCAGATATTTTTTTTTTTTTTAAATAAAACAATGCTCCTTCGTTTCTTCTCCACTGCATTTCACTTCCCGCACTCCATTCCTTCTCCAACACGATACCCTCCGTAAACGCTTCAATCATCTCCATTTCCTTACCATTTCTTTAGCATTTTCTAGCTTTCAAACACACTCGTCGTCGCTATTGTCGCCGGCGTCCGATCATCGCGAATTCAACAGCGCTTTCTCTGTAAACCAGAGCTCATCATCATCCTATAACAGGTATAAATGCATTTTACGTTGATACATAATGCATTTACACAAAACAAGCATTCATTTTGAGTATATATTTATGAAATTTTAAACTAGGGTTTTATACTGTTTAATCTTGTATGAATGTATAGTTATTTGATTATTAACGTGCATGGTTATGATTATGGGTTTATGAGTATATTTATAAGTTTATGGAACTGTAGTTTTACAATTTTGGAAGTATAGTTGTACATTTATGGAATTGTAGACATACAGTTTTGGGTGTAGTACTCTGTTAACCTTACTCTGTGCACCAAACTGCATTCATGCCTTCTTAACATACTTTGCTTTGTGCGTATACTTATGGAATTGTAGTTTTACAATTTTGGAAATATAGTTGTGCGTTTATGGAATTGTAGTTATAGAGTTTTGGATGTAGTACTCTGTGAACCTTACTCTGTGCACCAAAATGCATCAATGCCTTTTTAGCATAATTTGCCTTGTAGGTATGCTTATGGAATTGTAATTGTACAATTTTGGAAGTATAATTGTGCGTTTATGGAATTATAGTTATATAGTTTTGGATGTATTACTCTGTGAACCTTACTCTGTGCACCAAATTGCATTCAAATCCTTTTTAGCATAACTTGCCTTGTGGTATACTTATGAGATTATGGAATTGTAGTTTTACAATTCTGGAAGTATAGTTGTGTGTTTATGGAATTGTAGTTATGAAGTTTTGGATATAGTACTCTGTTAACCTCACTTGATGTTTTTTATTTGCAGAAATGGATCAGTCAGGTGTGGCAGATGATTCTACACTTGGTCAATTTGTGAAGTCTATAAAAAAGAGAACAACCAGAGCAGTATTGAGCTCACAAGCTGCTGAACTCACCCCTGCCCAGGAAGATCAAGCAGAGCCTTCGACAAGGCAACAACCAGCAGCTGTAAAAAGAAAGAGGGCACCACCACAAAAGCGAGAGAGAGTACGGGACCCTGATGTGAACTACTTCAGTACACGAATGGGTCCTAAGCAAATGTATGACCTTGTCCAGCGTCTAACACATGACCAAAAGGATGCTGTGATTGATATGGGTTTTGGAGGGCTGCTGCACCTACAATTTTCAAGCAATTACTCACAACTTGTTGAGTATCTCCTGCAAAGGTTTGATGTTTTCAAATCAGACTTCATATTGGATGGTGACCATCTACATGTCGGTGAAGAGGATGTTGAATACATCTTGGGACTCCCCCGGGGGAAGAGAGATGTTGAGGAAGGTACAAAGAGTGAGGAAAATTCTACAGCTGCATATAATAAGGTCCTGACTGAGTGGAGGAAAAGATGGAATGTCAGGTCAGGGTCACCCATAACAACAAAGATGCCTGATGAAATAATCAGGAGAGGTGACCATGGAGATGCCTTCAAGAGAGACTTTGTGGTGTTTGCTGTCTCATCTCTGCTCCGGGGAAATACTGGAAGATATGCCAACTATCGAGTTATCAAGTCATTGCTCAACATCCGGTCAATCTCAAGACTTAATTGGTGCAAGTACACGTACAATTCTTTAATTGATTCGTATGACATTTACAAAGACTCTCCTACCAGATCCTTTCGAGGTCCAATGGTATTCATCCTGGTAATATCCCATTATACATAAAATGTTCTAATTATGTAATTATATTCATGCAATTATGGAATCATAGATATGCAATTCTGTATGTGTGGTTATGCCCTTATGGATGTGTAGTTTTGTAATTGTGGAATTGTGGTTTTCCAATTATGGAATAATAGTTTTACAATTATGGAATTATAGTTAATCAATTATAGATGTGTAGTTTATGGATTATGGAATTATAGTCATCCAATTATGGAATTATAGTTATGCAATTATGGAATTATAGATATGCAATTCTAGATATCTAGTTTTATAATTATGGAATTATAGTTATGCAATTATGGAATTATAGATATGCAATTCTGAATATGTAGTTATTCAATTCCTTAACATACTCTTCTGTACTTCTTGAAGCTCTTCTACTTTGACCGAGTACAATTCAGAGGCATGACCGTCAACCGCACATTCCCAGCAATAAAAGCTTGGACAAAAAGCCTTGTACGCAAGCGAGTATCGGCTGAGATAAAATCAGGGGGTTTTGGTAAGGGCAAAGTTATCCCTCGATTTCAGAGACCTACTGCCATTGCATCTACATCATCACCCCGACCTGCACCTCCTCCTGCTGCAATACCAAGGCCAGTGTCCAGCCCTGCTGCTACACCAACTATTCCAGCTCCATCTGTGCCTCTGACAAATGTTGACCGAGTAACAAATGTGCTTCAACGGCTTACAGCAGATGTCCTTGAGTTCGGTCAGGTCATGTCTGACATTGGCAAGCAAGGGGCCCCGGTTGAAATCATGAAGAGGGCTTTTTCAGGAATATCAACAATGCTGAGTGCTGCAAGCACAATTCAACCGACTCCTAGCCCAACTGCCTCGCAATTGGATGACATCTTCTTCGGAAGTGAGAGCTTCACATCAGCAGTTGATTCTCTGGTAGCAGCTTTTGAAAAAACAAGAAAGGAAATGGAAATAGAAGTCCCATCATTTGAGCTACTTGGACGCTCTACACCAACCCCACCACCATCTCAACAGCAGCCTTTGGACACCTTGGTGGATAACATTGTGAGGAGTGCAGGAGTATCAACCTCAACAGAGAAGGAAGCAACTCCATTACTAATCAGAGTGCCATTCGAAAAGTCCACCACTCCTACTACCCCTGCTGCCCAAACTGCTGCTGAGATTGATGAATTTGATAAGTAGGTTACTGCTTTCTTATGCAGATTTAGACTATAAATATGGTCTTCAATTCATCAATAATTATGAATATTAAGTTTGATTAATATGAATATATTCTTATTCAACTAGTGACGTTGATTTCTTTACAATTATGAATATGTATTTCTCAAATTATGGACATATAGTTTATAGATTATAGAAATGTAGTTATACAATTCTGGAATTATACTTGTGGGGTTATGAACTGCCTCTGTTTTTTTCTGGACAACAGGGCTATGGATGAAAGTGAATCTGATGTTGAGGATGTTACTGTGAGAAAGAGACCTGTGCGCAAATTCAGGAACATCCCGCTTCATTTGAGGTCACCATATTGGAATAAGAACAAAGGCTCCATCAATAATGCAACTCCCAAAGAAAAGGTTTTTTCAAACTATGCATTTTTGGAAGCCTCAAGTGAGCACCCGGGAGGGTATGTTTCCATCCACCAATTTTACTTAAATTTTATTCATTAATTTATGTTCTTATATTTATTTATTTACTGTATTGTAGAGAGACATTGTTCAAATATGGTGATTACTACTTCACAAGGGATGATTTTGCAACTATGTGCAACGGTGAGCTACTGAGCAGCTTCCTAGATGTCTGGTCCCTACGTTTTACATTGCTGAACATGCCCCGTGCGGTTGGGGAGACAAAGCGGGTCTACTTCTCCACCCTAGTACATGTAAGTGTTCACAAATTATGAATATATAGTTTTTAGATTATGGATATGTAGTTATTCAGTTCTGGATGTGTACCTGTGAACCCCTGGTTTTATAATTTTGTAATTCTGGAATTATAGTTATGCAATTATAGAACTATACTTATGCAATTATGGAATTGGTTATATGCAATTATGGAATTATTGATATGAAATTATGGAATTATAGTTATCCAATTATGGAACTATAGTTGTACAATTCTGGAAATGTATATATATATATAACTCTGTATGTATAACTTTAACATTTTCAACAAATATTATTTGGATTATGACTACCCATTCCTGCATTTGTATGTGCAGCTTCAAATTGATCCCAATGATCAGTGGATGAAGGATCTCCCAACTCACATAAAAATGAAGAATTTCAATGAGAGATTGAGCTATGAAATAACCAGCTTTGGGAACCTAGACATCAGTGATGCAGATCTGGTAAGTTCTATTACCCATGTCCAATTTGACTTTATCATGTCCAAAAAAATACTAACATTGCTTTAACTTTGAATTGGAATTAGATATTTTTCGCAGTTCATCGCCATGGTCACTACTTCTTGGTCTGCTTCAATGTGAAAGAACATAAAGTACAGGTCATTGACAACAAGGAGTTACCAGCTGGTGTTTCGGAGAAGGACAAATATGGCAACTGCCCACACTTATTGGTAATTTTGATAAAAAAAAACTTGACATTCTTACCATTACCTATCTATTGACATAAAAGCATTATCAACACTAAACTAACTTTTCTGACCAGATTGAAGCATTCAGTGGTTACCTTAAGGCCGAGTGCCACTCCTTGTATGTGAAATTGCAAAAAGTTGATATAAAGTACCTTAAGTTGGACTGGGCAAACACTGAAAACGTCACTGATTGCGGGATCTATGTACTCCGTCATATGGAGACATTCCGAGGGACTCTACAAGACTGGCAGCCAGGATTCAAGAAAAATATGCGCTTGAATGTAAGACTACCATACATATTATAGTTTCAAAATACATTAAAAAATAAATAAAACTGCGAATGACTAATTACTTAATGTTCTTTGTTTATAGGCAAGCTTCATGTGTGAATTGCGAGCGAAATATGCTGCGAACCTCATAAAGTGGAGAATGAATGAAGTCAGGGGGGAGGTTCTGCAAGCGGCCAAAAGAGTTTCGAAGAAGAATTGAATGAATATTCTTCAACATGTTGACTGAATTCTAAACAATTAGAAAGTTTTTGTGAACTACATTGACAATGTGACATGTATTTTGTGAATGTAGATGCATGATGTTAATAGCTAAATAACAATTTACATCTGATCTATGCACCTCTTTCTCTTTTCTCTTCTTTTCTTTTCTTTACTTTTTTTTTTTTTTTTTGTTTTTGTTTTCATGTATCAAATCTATAATTGCATGACTACTATAAATCCAGAATTGCAAAACTATAGTTCCATAATTGCATAACTATAATTCCATAATTTCATAATTATAATTCCATAATTGTATATAAACAATTCCACAATTGCATAACTATAGTTCCATAATTGCGTAACAATAATACCATAATTGCAAAACTATACATCCATACTTGCATAACTATACACCACAATTTCATAACTACAAATTCCATCACAATGGGGACTACACATGCATAAATGCATAACTATATTTTCATAATTGAATGACTATAATTTCATAATTGCATACCTTTCATAATTGCATGACTACAATTCCATAATTGTATAACTATAATTCCATAATTTCATAACTACAGTTCCAAAATTGCAAAACTACATATCCAGAATTACAAAACTAAAACTGTATAATTGCATAAAATCAATGATAACAACTTGTATTTCTCAATCTACACCTACATTGTCATCTAAACCCTTACTAAACTGAACAAAATCTGAACTTGAAGAACTTGGATGTACAAGGTATCCATCCCCAGCAAGCTTGGATATGTTTTCCAACACCAAAAACTGAACAGCACCCTTTGTACTCAATGCAGCTTTATTTGCAGCACTCCTTCTCCCCCTTGCAAGACTGTACTTCTTTTCAATAACACCACTCCTCCTTTTGTTACGCTCACCTTTCAATCTCCGACTTGAAGGATTTTGAACACCACCACTTGAAGATGAAACACCACACTCTTCAATATGCACATGCCCAACCTCGGCTTCAACCTTTTTCTTTACATCATCAACAGCCTCGTCACACAGTTTCCTCGCTACGCTGCTATCTTGACTAGACACAACTAATCTTTGAAATTTTCTACTAATATCGAACACCCAAATTGATGGAGGAACACCAACATTATAAACCATAGAATCAATGTTGACATTCCTACCATCAATAACCTTTTTAGTCCATCTTTTAAGTATATATTTGTCGGGAATACTAGAAACACAATGTACGTGAAGAATGCGTATACAATGACAACATAGAATTCCCAACTCAGACATCAACTTGCAACTACAAGAAATGTCCAAGTTGGCTGCATTAAAACTAACCTCATGCCTTATAATATCTATATCTGGCCGCCACACGTGATACTTCTGTTGATGGCCATCATTCAACACCATCTCTTGATGACACGCACTGCCTTTCATGAATTGTTCCTCAAACAGAAAATATATCTCAATCGTGTATACCTCTCTAGCATGTGAAAGAAGTTTCACATGCTCCATCATCATAGCGGGTACCCCTTGAGCACACCGAAAGTCTTCACCGTTCTCTTTACTTCTCCATTCAGAAATTACGCTTACAAACGATGAATAGAAATCACAAAGACCCGCTGTCTTGGACAACCTTCTAGAAATCGAATGATTTGTAGTTTCACTCCTTTGTGATGATAGAATGCCCCCAGAAAAATAGTCCTTGTTAAATGCTGGACACCACTTCTCCCTACAGTCATATAGCTTTTCTAACGAAGTATTCTTGTGACATTTATAGTCAGTCACCAACCTGAAAATGGTAAGACAAAATCCCAAATGATTATGAAGCAGAATATTAACAAGCAGCATCACCACATCTAACACATACTCAGAATTTCTATTGCTCTATATACATAATTGGAATACTATATGTCCATAATTGATAGACTATATATCCATAATCCATACTACTACATTTCCAGACACCACCAGTAAGTTCAACTGCTATATATCCATAATCGGTATACTATATATCCATAATCGGAATACTATATATCCATAATCCATATACTACATTTCCAGACACCACCACTGCTATATATCCATAATCGAAATACTATATATCCATAATTGATGCACTATACATCCATAATTACAAACGTAATGCAATAAAAACGATTAATTACTAACATACCTTGTCCAATAGAATTGAAATTCAGCTTCGGTCTCTGTGTATTTCAACACGTAGTTAAACATATCCAAGAAATCCTTATTGCTCCTTAACGTCTTGATATGCTTCTTTGAATTCTCACCGATATGCCATATGCAAAGACGATGACGTGATGTTGGAAACACTTTAGATATAGCAGCAGCCATAGCTGCACATTGATCTGTCATAATAGTCTGTGGAGACTTGTCACCCATTGATCTTGAAAACACTTTAAACAACCACACAAACGATTCTATCCTCTCGTTCATCAAAAACCCGCATCCAAACATTACATTCATGCAATGGTGATTCATCCCTACGAAAGGGGCACAAATCATATCGTATTTGTTTGTGCGATATGTCGTATCATGCACTAACAAGTCCCCAAACACCTCGTAATCTCGTCTCATTTGACCATCCCTCCAAAAAAAACTGCACAACCTTGCATCCAAGTCAAGTTCAAAATCAAAGAAAAAATCAGTCTCGGTAGACTGCCTCCTCCTAAAAATTTCAATTAAAGAGTTAGAATCCGTTCCATCCAATCGCTTGACAGTATCCGCAGCCATTGAATTATAAGCATCTCTACTGGTGAAACCAACTAAAGGGGACCCCCCCGATTGGTGTTTTAGGAACCTAATACCATCTGCCAATGCAACACCACTGTCCTTCAAACCTTGTAAATATAAGAGCTGATTATCTCCGACACTCCTATGTGAACGAAGTAGATGACTCTTGTTGAACACACATAACTCGTGATTGTGCACTTTCTCGTGTTTCGTAACTGTCCACAACCCATCATCACCCACGTCAAATTGAACAAACGCTCCACACCCTGTCCTTGTGTCAATTTTGGAATAAGCCTTAACCCCACTGTTAGCCTTGTAACCAGCCTTAGAACAACAAAATTTCTTCATTTGAATTGTGTTCGAAGATCCCTTGTATCGTTGATGACCCTTCCTCACACTAAAACCAAGTCTATATGCATAACTGTTATACACCTCAAAAGCCTCATCAGCATTACTTACTACCAAACCAACCAAATCTTGATCAACTGCAAATATAACACAATAATAACCATTTCCATTAACACATAATTCCTAACCATAATTTGCTAATTAAAAGGTAAACCACTATGAATAAACCTGGAATTGATGAAGATCCATCAACATCTACATCTACTTGATCTGAACTCACTGAACCATCCACAATGCCTTCACTAACTACATTATATAGACATGGTGAACATTAATTCAAACAGTTCATCAAACAGAAAAAACAGAGTGTCTACAGATTCTGTATATATAGTTATATGATTATGGAAATATAGTTATACAATTCTGGATACACAGTCGCAACAAACTGCCAAAACAGAGTACCCCTAATTCTGAATATATAGACATGCAATTCTGGAAATATAGTTATGAAATTATGGAATTATTGTTTTCAAATTAAGAAATTGTTGTTACACAATTATGGAAATTACTTACGTGATTTTGCACAACTATTTGCAGATTCTAGACACAAACATCACTGCTAATCACATAATCATACAAAAAACCAAAAGGAACGATTGCAAAAACAATAACAAGATCACCTTGAATCGAATGCCAATCATCAACTGCGGAATTCGTCTGCTCTGTTCCATCCTCCATCTATCAATCACTTTGTAATTCCCGATTTCGATTTGCGATTGCGATTTGCGAATGCGATTGAGATTGCGATCGCGATTCCGGTGATATCGAATGCCAATACCACAGTGAACAACTGCCAACGATCGAGTTTGAAACTTGGAAACAAACTCAAAAGGAATTTGGAAGTAAACGCCGTTAACGGAATTTTTTTTTTTTTTTTATAAAACCCCGCGTCATTAGGCTAAAACGACGTCGTGTGGATCTGTATGCACCATGCATGGTGCATACAGATGCACAGCATAATTTGCCGATTTTTCCACCAATGATGCTTTAAGGATGTACTTTTTGGCCTTGTGATGAGCCCACTATAGACCCTTATTGGATTCCATGTGTGCTGGTTCCTATTATTCTCCCATTCTTGAAAAGGATTCGTCCTCGAATCCAAATCTTCAATGAAAGACAAAGTAGCAAGCTCACTTTCTATTTTATCACGCTCATGGAACTTTTTCTTGGGGTGCTTGACACGAGTCGCTCCAATCATCATCCTACAATCAACAAGTAAGGCAATTAAGTCTAATGACACATCATGGAATTTAAACATTCTGGATAGTAATAGATCAGCAAAACGAGACATATTAAATTTAGCCATCTTGTTTGAATTTTCAACAAGCACAACATCTTTCCTTCTAGAGCTTAAGGCTAAACCAAACACAAAATCCATGGAAATATCAAGTAATGTTTTAGATGTATTGTGGTGGTAAGTAGCACAATTATGAACATAAGATTCTACATCTTTTTTCTTCTTTGGCCAATGAAAATATCCATGCAAAACATCATCACTCTTTGGAAAACCAAATGGTCCTTTATGTGAATCAACAATTAAACCATTGCCCAAAACAAAGCAAAAAGTGCCAATCCCATTGACTTTGAACCAAAACCCCTTGAGCAAGTAGTGTTTCACATAAGAAGTTTTCAAATGTGCCTTATAACTTTCCAGTGATTCCTTATCTCTATCAAACAAAGTTTTAGTAAAATCAAAATTAAGGAATCTTGGATGTATGGATGCAAACAAATTTCTAACACATCTAGCAAGTACGTCATTAATAGAAACATGGCAAAGAAATCTAGAGAATAATAATGCATGCTTTTGGAATAAAAGTGAGTAGAAAGTGACTCCCCTTCCATTCTCTTGCATACTATCCTTTTTAGTTACCAAGAGAGGTTGCACTTTGACACCTTGGTCTGGTCCTTTCCACTGTATCACTGATTGTGGTCCCTTTGTTTGGCTACAAACTGAGTTAGAGGATTGGAGTGGTGATTGCAATTCCAAACATGGAGGTTCCACTTTTTTCTCTTTGATTTCTTCCTTCTTTGAGGCCGGTTTGAGAGCTTTCATCAATGTCAATTGAATTTCTTCTACTTGTTTAGGATACAAACGAGGCAAGAAATATGTAACTCCATTCATGTGAAACACATAAGTGTTCCTCATTCCATCATAACTTATTTTTCTGTCAAATTGCAATGGTCTACCTAACAAGATATGAGCAGCCTGCATTGGGATATTATCACACAAGATTTCATCAGAGTAACTGTTAATAGATAAACGAATAAGACCCTGTTTGGTTACTCTAGCTTCTCCTACATCAGTTAACCATTGCAAACAATAAGGATTTGGATGATTAAGCAAAGGTAACAGGGAAAATTTAACCATAGCTGCACTAGCCACATTTGTGCAACTTCTAGAATCTATTACCATAGCACAAGCATTCTCTTTAATTGACCCTTTAGCACAAAATATATTTTCTCTTTGAGACTCATCTTCTTTTAAAGGGTGAACATTCAAAACCTTCTTAACAACAACAGTATGACAAGACTCACTATCAACATATTTAGAATCAGAATCTAAAGGTATGAATGGTTCTCTCTCAACATGTTCATTGGGGGTTTCAAAATGGTCACAAACCTCATCCTCAGATTTATATTCAAGACAAGAAGTAAAATTTTCAGATTGTGTTGTTATCTTAACTACCCTCTTGTTAGGACAATCATGAGCTATGTGGCCTCTCCCATTACATCTATAACAAATCAATTCTCTATCACGTTGAGGCTTCACTGACTCACTTACCTTTTCTTTACCTTTGTCTCGTGAATCATCTCTTAGAAGATGACGTTCATCACGCCTTTGAGAGGTGGAACAAGTGTTGTTCCATTTTGATGCACCATTGTTGGCCTTGTACATTTTCATCTCTTTGATTTTTGCCTCAGATTCACGTGCAGCATACAAGGCATCATAAAGGGTGTCATATCTCTGAATACTCATTCCACATCGAATTTCTAAGTTCAATCCATGTACGAAACGAGCAATAGTTTTTGCCTCTTCTTCATGTATGTTTCCATGTTCAAGCAAAATATTTATAGTTTGGTGGTACTCATCAACTGACATTGTTCCTTGCACGGTTCCCTGCAATTTTCTTTCAAGATCATAGAAACAAGATTTAGGACGAAAGGTTAGACGCATATCTTCCCTCACTTGAACCCAAGATTCATAGGGAATAAAATTAGCAACTCTCTCTCTATTTCTTTTTCGCCACCAAGATAATGCATACCCCTTAAAAGATGTAGAAACTAGCCTAATTTTTGTAAGATCAGAATATTGCTTTAAATTAAAAAGAGTTTCAACAACATTCTCCCATTTTATGTATTCGGTAGGTCCTTTCTCACCGGTGAAGTTAGGAATTTCATGTTTAATGTTTCCTAACTCCGTATTACGCTGTTGGATTCTTTGACATCTAGGATCCACTCTTCCTACTGGTGGCAGGTGTCGTTCATCATTGTGTGGTGGTTGCACTTGCTGTGAGTGTTGCTCCAAATTATTCATTCGTTTGAGTAACCTGTCTATTTTTTGTTCTAATTTCTGCAGCAAGTTTGGAACTTTTTGAGCCATCTGTAAACGAAAAAAAATATCTAAAAACAAGAAGATGTGTGAGTAGTCACGTTAGTGAAACCAAAAAGTTGGCTCGCTCCCTCACTATTCTCAGCTCGCAAGGTAAGAGGTGGATTATATGGCTCTGGGGGTGCACTACACACTCTTACAAATACACACTCCACTCGTGTATCGCTCAAGGTGGCAGATACTCTCACAAGCCTTTTTCCAAAAAGGAAAATTCTAGTCCGAAACTCAAGTTGGTATGGATTCAACCTCAAAGTTCAAGAAAACATACCTTGGAAAACTTCACAAGCCCTTGAGAGTAAGGTGTATCGCGAGGTAGGTAATAAAATTGAGAGCAAGAAGCAAAGAAAAAGGACAATACAAGCAAAGAAACTAAGAAAGATTTGAAAGAAAAAGGAATGCAAAGAAATAAGTATGGCAGAAAGATATGCAACACCAATATCAGAAGATAGACACAAAAAGAATGTAAAAGGGGATCAAGTGTACCACAACCAAATAGGAATATATCAAGAACTCCTTCCAACCTTATACTTTTCCCCTTCCTTATCCCACCAAAATTCTCCTACCAACCAGATTCTTTCCCCAACCTTATTCTTCTTCTTTATTGCTTTCTCTTTTTTTTTTTTTTGCTTTTTTTCAAATTTCTTGAATTTTTTTTTATGATTGTTTTGATAAGTAACCTCCAAATAACTACTGTAAATATCAACAAAAATTTCGGACCGAGAGGATCCACACAACCCCTTCAAAACAGAATCAAGAATTTCAAGAATCGCCTAGAAAAACAGAAACAATACCCTGACTTTGAAGATCAATATCTCACTAACTAGAAGGAATTAGACAGTGTATAATATATCAAAAGAACGCCCCAGAAGAGATCTAAAACATATCCAAATTTCAGATAAAACTAACTAGTGGATCTCGAGATATAGGTAATTCTTTGAAACTGGTCACAGCTTGCGGAAATCTGGACAGGGTGTGATTGAGACGTGATTGCGCGTAAATGCGCTTTGGATATAGGTAAGGGTAAGATGGGGTTGTTTTCTTGACAGAATATGTGGTTATATGGTGCTTAGGAGGTGTGAGGTCTCATTGATATTGGACGGGAAAAAGGGAAAACACTTTCGGGATTGTTTTTCAAGAAACTGGAGAACATGTATCAAGATTCAAGAACGCAATCAAGAATGCAAAAGAAAATTTTTTTGGGGTTTTTTTAATGAATAAGACACGAATAAATGTAGTATGTAAGATAAGAACGAGATAAACCTAGGGAACCAAAGAAACCAAATTTCCAATGATAACGAGACAAACCTAGACTCTGAATACCAAATTGATATGAATATAGTCCAAGGTTCAAATAAATATGGAATATTGTCCTAAGATTACTCTCAGTGCAAGATAGAGATGGATCAAAATACCTTAAACCTCACGAGAAACCCTTTGTCTCGAATCCTCAAAGACTTGGAAGAATCCCATTGTAGCTTCAAGTACCTCGATGATGCAATCTTCAATCAACTAGAGTCGGATCTAGTTTCCTTCGATTCAAGAACGAGTCCACGAACCTAAATCTAAGGCTGAAGAAAGGAAGATTGATTCGAGTCCACGAATCAATTTGCTAGTCGAGTCCACGACTAGCCACTAATTGAGTCCACAATTAGCCATAAGGTTTCTTACACAAGTGTAAAGAAAAACTTAAGAATTTTATTGAATTAAAGCCTCCTCAAAACTGATATGGATGTGCCCTATTTATAGGTATAGGGCAGCATTGTAATCTAAATACAATGAGAAAAAGAGTCCTAAACCTAATCTAGAAAACAAGTAAATAGAGTTTTATTTAGAAAAGGATTTAAGGAATCCTTTCTAAATACAACTAGTGTTTTCTCTTTAATTCTAAACAATTTAAAATAAATGATGACCACAAATAATAAAGCTGATTTGGGCCTCGGATCTTGTGATTGGCCCAATTTGTAATCTTAATGGATCTTCATTATGTTGGGCCGCATCATCCTCCCCTTCTTGAAAAATGATTCGACCTCGAATCTTATAAACATTGTCTTCGATCCGTGACATCACT